TTGCCCTAGGAATTTTGCTTTCAGAAATTTTTAAGCAGACCTACAAATTATGTGGTAAAGTGTCCGCCATGGAGAGAACCATAATAAGCCAGGGGCCCCTGGAATATCTACTTGGGAACGATTATGAAATACAAAGCGAACAGAGAGACGTTTGTCTCCAGTTGGACCACTGTTAAAACCATTTAAAACAAAAAAAACAAAACTTGAACTTCTCCCGACACCCACCTCCCAAAATGCCACCATGGTGTTCCGAGAACTTTGTTTTTTGTTTTGTTTTGTTTTGTTAATAAAAGAAAGCAGTCTTAGAATAAAACAAGACATCTGATTTTAGAATTCAAAGAAAAAAGAAAAAACAAATTGAACAGTAGAAAAAGCATAATCTGGTCATCTCCAACTCCTTCTCCCTTTAAAAAAAAAAGAAGAAGTCATGCTCCAGTGGCTCACACCTGTAATCCTAGCTAATAAGGAGGCTGAGATATGAGGATCATGGTTCAAAGCCAGCCTGAGCAGGAAAGTCTATGAGACTCAACTCCAATAAACTACTCAGAGAAAGCTGAAAGTGGCACTGTGGCTCAAGTGGTGGAGCGCTAGCCTTGAGCAAAAAGAAGCCCAGGGACAGAACCCAGGACGAGTTCAAGCTTGGGTTGGGGAAGGGGGTAAGCATTCTTGTCTTAATGACGGATGCTACCAGGAGCCCAAGTGAGACATTGTGTCCTAAGCCATCCTCCCATCCCCTCACCCCCTCATTCTCTTACTGATTGGAGACACCCAGAGTGACAGCCAGAGCTGAACCTGCAGAGAGGTAGACATTTGTCCTTTGTGCTGACAGTGCTGAATGTCTAAGCTGGGTGTCCCAGCGCTAGGCCACATGTCCATGTGTCTACAGCCTCCTCATTTACCCAGTGGCTGGTAGCAGAAGCAGCTTAACTGGACCCAGCCAAACCCAAACCCACAGGTCCCGTGGGGAGCAGCCAGCTGGCCCCTGGTGAAGGTATTGACAAAACCCAGTGCCAGCAAACACAGAAGAGAGAGGCACTGGTTTGGACCAGCTCAAGCAGCCACTGCTTGCAAATATTTATGAATGGCCAGAGCAGAGAAGCATGGGTCTCCTTTGGTGAGGAACAAGACCAGGACAAAGTCGGTGCAATGGTTCCAGCAACACTCTTGGCTCCTTCCGAGGAGTTGGTCCTCTTGTGGTTGTCACCAAAGATGTCTCTGGTAAACCATCCCTGCTCTCCAGAGAGGCTTAGATCACTAGGTGAATAGGAGGCATGCAGAGGTGGTTTCTGGGTTTGTCATGTATGGATAGGTTTGGCTTATGCCAGGAGCCACAATTGGCTAATCTGTAAAATGGGGAGAAAGAAAGCTTAATGGTACAAAGCTTGCCTAGCATGCACAAGGTCTGAGTTCCATCCTAACCTGCAAAATAATCTCTAAGTGGGAAGAAAGACAATGGCCTGCCTACACACAGAGGCTGGGCCCATCAATCAGTTGCCCCAAGAACTGTTACAAACCCTTACAGAGGGAGAAGAAGATGGAAACTTAGTGTCCTGGGATCTTCCCTGGTCTCCGAGGGTCACAGCAGAGCCTATCTGCCAGTCAGCTCCATAGCAAGCCACTCCAACTGTCTTGTCTTCCCAGTCAGGGAGCGTGGGGGGGGGGGGCTGGGGGATTCTGAATGGTGGGCTTTTTGGCCCTCTTTAAACCTACAGGGAAAAAAAAAAGACACATGTTAAGTGCTGCAAACGAGCAAATCATCAGTCATTGTCAGGCTACTGGCCCCAAAGTCTTTAGAAATAAAAAAGAGAAATAGGATTCCACATCCTTCAAGTGTCTGGGGATGATCAGCAGAAGCTCTGCACATACTGCTTGCTGATTTCTTTCTGGAGCCCTTAACCACCAGCCATGCAAAAATGACTTCCTTCCTCCTCCTCTGGACAGACGTTGTTTGTCCCCTTGGGGGCCAGGAAGGGGGCAGCTACTGGGTGGAGAAAGAGAAATCCCTGAAATGGTTGAGTGGGAAATGCTAGGAAGGGCCTGATCAGCCCTCCTTGAGGGACATTTCTTGAGCCATAGCTACAGACACCATACAAATTCTAAATAAGGATGACCAGAGTTGTGAGAAGCCCAACATTATCTGCCAGGGAAATTCCAAGGTTCCTCTCTAGGATAAATGGAAGGAAAAGGGACCACTTAGTTGGAAGTCATTGAAAAACTAAGGAAGAAGAAATGACAGAAGTCACAGGAATGGGGGAGGGGGGCCGCCGCAGGCAGGGGGCTGTTGTTGAACATTAGAGTTCTGTTGTTTTTTTTATTTGTTGTTATTGTTATACTATGGAATGAACCCAGGGCCTCACACATAGGCAAGCAGGCTACTATTTGAGCCATGCCTCCAACCCTTTTTGTATTTTGGTTTTGAGATAGGCTTTTATTAGCTTTGCCTAGTCTGGCCTTGATCCACCTGCCTCCTCTTGAATAGTTGTGATTACAGGCATGCGCTATCATGTTGAGCTTTTGAGAGGAGATAGGTTGGAGGGTTTTCCTAGTGCTGGGGATTGAACCCAGAGTCCTGTGCATGCTGGGTAAGTACTCTGTTACTGAAACATGCTCCCTGCCCTTAACCTTCCTCATCTTTCTTCCACTCTCCCAGGCTGGGTTGGTTTATGCTTCTCAGAACAAGACCCCAAAGCCTTCAGGGCCAACTTAGGCATTTGAATGTAGCTCTGGGCCTTCTGGAGAGCAATTGGTTATAAAATTTCTGGGATAAGCATGATTCAATGTCCCACACAGCCAATAAGGCCAAACCCTCCACTGGTACCAATGATCATCCTTCCAATCTTGATGTCACACATTGGAGAATAAGACTGAACATATGGAACAACAGGGGAGTGGTATAGGGTAGAGCTGCCTTGTCCACTAGAGAGTAAGAACAGCATTGTCTTTGTTCAGCAGTGTCACTCAGAACCCAGCAAGATGATGCACAGCTCACATTTGTTCCTTCTGCTGTCCTCTGCTTAGAAAGAGTTATCTGTACTAGGCACAGGTGCTAACACCTGTAATCCTAGATACTCAGGAGGCTGAGATCTTAGGATCGCAGTTCAAAGCCAGCCCAGGCAGATAAGTCCATGAGACTCATCCCCAATTAACTACCAGAAAACCAGAAGTGGTGCTGTAGCTTAAGAGGTAGAGTACTTGTCTCGAGCTAAAGAGCTGAGGAACAGAACCTAGGCCCAGAGGTCAAGCCCCATGACGAAAGAAAGAAAGAAAAGAAAAGAAAGGAAAAGAATTGTTTGTGGAATAATTGAAGAGCCCATCTTTGCCCAAAGCCACCATATTAAATATCACTTGGTATTCATTTGCAGGGGCTACCATAATAAAGTGCCACCAACCACTAGAGGACATATTTCCTCACAGCTCTGGAGAAGAAAAATCTGAGATCAACATTCAGGTATAGGCAGGGAGCTGGGCACTGGTGGCTTACACCTATAATCCTAGCCACTCAGTAGACTGAGATCTGAGGATGGAGGTTTGAAGCCAGCCACGGTCAGGAAAGTCTATGACTCTTATCTCCAATTAACCACCAGAAAACTGGTAGCAGAGCTGTGGCTTAAAGTGGTAGAGCTCCAACCTTGAGCAAAAGAGATCAAGAACAGTACTCAGGCCCTTAGTTCAAACCTTACAACCAACAACCAAAACTAAAAAAGGAAGCTCAATATTTAGCTAAAAACAAGCATACCAGTGTTATCAAGGAGGCATAGGAGAAGCTGGTTCTCCCAGGATGCACCAGTGATTCACTTCCTCTTCTCTATAGAAAGGCTTAGTAAGTCCTCTACATCAAAAGCAAGAGCATGTCTTCCTCTCCCAGGACCCCAGAATATTACAAGGATGTTCTCTGAAGACAGGAGCTCCTCCCAGAGCTCCTCTGAACAAGTTGCCCCAGGGCAGGGACCTGTGAGGGCTGCAGGGCCTGGTCTGCGTTTGCTCAGTGCGTCTGTCATTCAACAAACATAGTCTCTTGAACATTGAAGATACCCAACGCTTGGCTCAGTGCCACATAGCTATGTAGACTTTATATTTCCCAAGCAAGAACATTTCTTTAAAAGAAGCACAAGTAAGACTCACAACTATCTAGCTAAAGGAAATCTGACAAAAACAGATCAAAGGTTTTCAGGTGTCACTGGTGAATGAACCATAGGAATGTTAGAAAATAAACACTAGAACCTCAATGTAATTATGACATACTTAAGTGAAATTACTAAAATATTACTTTGTAACTAAATAAACTGGCAGTGAAAAATGAACTGTACAACTTGTGGGTGGGGATAGGAGGGAAAAACTGGGAGAGAGCGAGAGAAGGAATAACATTATCCAAAAAGAAATGTATTCGTTACCTGACTTATGTAACTCTAACCCCTCTGTACATCACTTTTATAATAACAATTTAAAAAACTGGCAGTGATTCAAATAGAATTCAGGCTTCTTGAGTGATACAAATGTCTAGTTTTAATGCATTAGATATATCCAGTTAACTACCAGAAAGCTGGAAGTCAAGCTGTGGCTCAAGTGTTAGTGTACTAGCCTTGAGTAAAAAAGCTAAGAGACAGCATCCAAGCCTGACCTGAGTTCAAATCCCAGTTCTAACAGCCAAACACACACACAAGTGTAGGTTTCTGCAGAGATGTATCACAATTGTAGAGGGCTTCAGTGTTTAGATTTTCAGATAAAGCTGTAAGCTGGGGACAGAAGTGGAAAGGTTTGGATCTTTCAGATTTTATTCCCTGTGTATTCATGTGTAGTATAATAAATGCATACAATGAGGATTTTTTAGGTGAGTAATTGACTTAAGTTCTCTCTACCACAAAGCCTGGCGCACAGGAGGCTCTGTGTTTGTTGAATGAATGTGTAGTAGACCCAGGCACTGCCTTGCTATCCTAGTGCTTCTGTGCAGGGACTAGAGCAGCTCACCTAGTAACCATTTCTCTTACCACTTGGGATTGCAGACGGCAGCAGAGACCTCCAGGGGGGAACAAGCCCCAACAGCACGGTGACCACCAGCCAGGCAGTGCCAAACACAACAGGGACCACCAGAAATCCTACCAGGGAAGCTCAACACCCCACCCCTCAGGGAGGCCCACCCACCATGGCTACAGCCTCAACCGGCGCTGGCACCATGGTAACATGAAGCATCCACCAGGTGAAAAGGGGGAGCCAGGCGCCCACCGCAATGCCAAAGAGACCGTGACCACCGAGAGCCCCAGACTTGAGGACAGCCCTGGGGACAGTGGGCACGGATGCCTTGAGCCCCCTCACAGCCCTGACACCTCAGCCCCGACGGCTTCTGAAAGACCCTCCCCGCAGCCACCAGGTGGGCCAGAGGCCGAGGCAAAGCATAAAGACTGTGTTGTTGCCGAGCGCCTCGGGGAGAGGCCCAAAATCACCCTGCTTCAGTCTTCCAAAGACAGGCTGCGGCGAAGACTAAAAGAAAAGGTACCGGTAATTGAATTTTCCTTGTTCTCTTGTACCCGGGAGGAGCACCAAGAGGTAGGCACTTGGGTCAGTGGGTTTGGGGTGGAGCCTTGTGGGTTGGAGGAGGGCTGGAGTGGGGATGGCTCTGTGGAGGGAAATGAGGGCTTCCATGGCTGCATTGACCCACTGTTACTTATGATCACCACTGTTGCGGGTACCACTGGGCTCCCCACCGGGCCAGCCCGTGGTAGTTCTGCATGAACTCCTCTAGTACATGTCCCCTCAAGACACAGTAGACACTTGCTACCAGACCCCAGCAAGAAGGAATAGGCAAGGCACATGGCTGGGGCGTAGGGGAAGGTGCAGGAGCATTTGTGGGGCAGGAGGGGGCGTGGTGGTCAGGTTCTGCCCTGTCTATGCTCAGGGCAGTGGGGGAAAGTAGAGCAATTGGAATAGGAGAACTGATGTTTCCTCAAGCCTAAATCACATGAGGCCTAGTCCCCGCCAGGACAGAAGGCTCAGATGGGTTGGGCAGAAAGAGAATCGGCTGCCTTCAACCCTGCAGTCCTCGCTTCATCTCGCAGTAGCAGTGAGGGAAAGATGCTGATAGGAGAAGACTCCATCAGGACCAGGCAGGTGTCAACCCGCATAGCATGATCCCAAGAGTGAGGGCACCCCGGGCCTGGCTTTCCCCACCTTGATCCTGGCCCTAGCCCTGGTCTCTGGGTCAGAGCCATGGCTTCAGGAGATGCCCCAAGCCTTCAGAAAAAGGAATAAGGGTTTGTTACCACAACTGAAATCCATGGCTCCCTCCTACCCACCACCACCACCACTAGCAGCCCTGCACCACTCCCCAGTCCCTCTTGCCTGCCAAGGGCACAAGACAGTCACCTAGGGAGGAGCTGTCCCAATCCTACTGCAACGCAGCAGAGCCTCCGGGGCATCCTCAGAGTCCAGGTCCTGGGGTCCTTCCCTGACCTCCTGCAGCTGCCTTCCCTCCCTGACCTTTAGCCCCAAGATACCAATAGCAGAATGAGGCAGCCCTCCTCCCGAGCTAACTCTGGAAGCTGAGGGGCTGTGCCTGTGTCCGCTACCCCAAGCATCCACCATGTTCCTCTGTGGGGACAAGGGCTAGAGGCCAAGAGGAAAGCCTCACTCACTTGTTGTACCAAAAGCAGATTCCTGGTAGTTACCTAGTGATGGCCACTGTGTAGCTCAGCCCAAAAAGTTTTCCAGAACAATTGCTGTGCCAGGGCTGGAGAGGACTACTGTGTTCTCTAGAGTTCTACAAAACTAAGTGCAGGGGGCTGGGAAGTTGGCTCAGTGGTAGAGTGCTTGCCTTGCATGCATGAGGCCCTGGGTTCGATTCCTCAGCACCACATAAGCAGAACAAGCCAGAAGTGGTGCTGTGGCTCAAGTGGTAGAGTGCTAGCCTTAAGCTGAAGAGCTGAGGGACAGTGCCCAGGCCAAGTTCAGGCCCCACAACCAACCAAAAAAAAAACCAGAACTAAGTGTAGGGCAGCACTGTGGAACCTCCCCTGGCTTTGGAACACAGCCAACCAGACTCAGGGTTTGTTCTGCCTTTGACTGGCTGAGCAACCCCTGGGCAAGTCAACCAATCTCTCTGAGCCTCCAGTTTACTCATCTGCATAGTGATTGTGGTATAGCCCCCTTACAGGGACCCTGGAGATTAAATAAGATGGATAATGATCTGGATCCATCTGGGTCACTCCCCATTGTGCTGGCTGTCCTCCCCCACCCCACCCCACCCCCCAAAAAAGAAATCCCAGGACAGTTGAGCTGCCAACTCTCTTCTAACCCAGATTTTCATCAAAAAGTAAAGTACCTTCAAGAACATGGCGGGGGGTGGGGGGAGTGTTAGGTGCCCAAAGGGGTGGAAAGCTGAGTCTTTTTGCTCCAGCATGGAGTGAGGCCAGTCCTCCCTAAAGAGGCAGGTGGACTGCAGGCAATTGAGGGGACAGGGCAGACCTCCCAGAGTTCCGCCTTTCCATGCAATTCACGTCTCATTTCGGAGAGCAGCTGTCTTTAGAACTTGGCCCCACATGGTAGGATTCAAGGAAAGCTCTAAACCTTCTCATTCTACATCACCATGTCACCCCCAAGGAAGCAGAGTTCAGGGAGGAGAGCCCCCACCCAGCACATGTGGCCAGAAGCAGAGGGCAGGAGACAGACCTTGCTCTGAGCCTGCGGGACCAGAACAGGAGGCAAGTGTAGGATCTCACTGTAAGACCTCGATTCCTGCTCTTCCACATCCCAGCAGCAAAGCCTGTCATTTTCTTGGCCACCAGTCTGTTGTGGCTGGGTGTCTAATTTGACTTCTTTCCAGCCCCTGGTCAGGGCCCAGATACTGTGAAACCTCATAAGGGCTTAGGGTTTGTCTGAAACTTCTTTCCTCCAAGCACCAACCACTTGAGTGCACACAGGAAGATTCCATGGCATAGATGGAGTGTGCCTAGAGGGCCAGCCAGGGCCATGTCCACGTGGAACCCTGCACTCAGAGAACATGACTGCCCTCGGGCATTTGGGGAGATGGGTGTGGTGGACACCAGTGGCTCCCCCCATCACACACACACACAGGGCCACGTCTTACTACTACCACAGGCATTTTGGATCCTACTCCACTTCCTGGCCTGGTCTTCCTCTCCTCGTTTTCCCTTTGGCCCGATTTCCTATTTGTCATCTTATTCTTCCTTTTATAAGCCCCATTAAATCATTCCTAGAGTAAAGCCTGTGTGTTTGGGAATCCTGGGAAGGAGCTAGAACTCATAAGGAATGTCAATCCAGGCTGTCACAGGGGCTAAGGAAAAAGCATCAAAAAGCATCTGGGCTGTGAGGGTCTTTCAGAAGAAAGCAGTGCTCAGGTTCTTCTCTCTGAGGGCAGCCCTCCTTCCCCAGACCACCTCCCACTGAAACCTTAGCTTCATTCATGTGTGCTTGGTTTGTCCCCCCGACACACGCCCCCAGGATGAAGTGGCTGTGGAGACAACCAACCCTCAGCAGAACAAGATGGACAAGTTGATCGAGATCTTGAATAGCATGCGGAACAACCGCAGCGACGTGGACACCAAGCTTACCACCTTCATGGAGGAGGCCCAGAACTCCACCAATTCCGAGGAGATGCTGGGTGAGATTGTACGGACCATCTACCAGAAGGCTGTGTCAGACCGCAGTTTTGCCTTCACGGCTGCCAAGCTCTGTGACAAGATGGCACTCTTCATGGTGGAGGGGACCAAGTTCAGGAGCCTGCTCCTAAACATGCTCCAGGTAACCTGACACCGACAGCTGCCGCCCCCTGACCCTCCACAGCGGCGGGTTGTTACTAGACAGAGGGCTGCAAGTCCTGACCGCAGTTGAACTTGTCCCAAGTTCCTTCCTCCCTTGTCCGATTAATTATAGAAAATAAGAAGGCAGTGGAGGGGTGAGGGATGAGCGGCCGGATTTGTGTGTGTTTGTGTGAGTGCTCCATGGTTACAAAGGACCAATATAATTTTATAGGTGCTTTTTGTTCAACCAGCCTTTCCCTCTTTCTATTTTCACGATAAGAGGACTGGCTGTTGGCTTTGTGCTTTGACCTCTGCACGTCTGAGCAGACATGAACTTGTGTATCTCTCTCTTCCTTCTCCTCTCCTCCTCCTCCTCTTGATCTTCTGCCCCTCTTCCCTGGGAACCCGCCCCTCAGAGTCTGGTGGCTGTGCAGCTGGGACTGAAATGGGTTGGTGCAAAGCTTTTTGGGGACATGTCTGGGACATTCTGTCTGCTAATGCAGAAGGCAAGCAGGACAATCCAAGATCATCTTGTTGCTGGATACTTTTCAACTTAGGATCTCTTGACCTTTAGTTAAGCTTGACCCCAGTCCTCTTCATTCCTGACCTCATGGAGACCAGCACCAGGCCATGGTCTTATAAGCCAGTATATGTAGTGTGGTAGGCATGCGTATTCAGCTGAATGTAGCCCCATCTCCTCTCACAGCACTTGTGGTAGGCAGCAGCAGGTGAACTGGTGGGCCCAATGCTGATGGGTGGTAGCTGGTGGTGATGTCAGGGAGAAATGGCAATGAGCATGGCCTTGTGGTCACACCAGATCCAAGGGTTGTACCTGAAGACTAAGGGCTGGCAAAGCCATTTCTTCTGCTACTTTATACTTTAGAGACTAGTAGAGATGCAAATTGAGGTCTAGTGTATGAAAGGAAGTTGTAAAAGTAGGATTACAGAGTTGAAGAGACCACCTGCAGGTCTCTGGTAGCTATGGTGACTCTACCAGTTCACCCAAGCTGCTGCCTTCTAAGAGTCAAAGGGGCTCCTTCATAATTACACCTGGATAACAGGTGCAAACAAGGGCACATGGCCACCCTCATCTCAACCATCTGTTTTTTCTGTCTGTTTATGCCAGTACTAGGGCTTGAACTCAGACCTTGCACTCTTGCTTAGCTTTTTTGTTCAAGATAGTGCTCTACCATTGAGCCATACCTCCACTTGTAACTTTTGGTTGGTTAATTGGAGATCAGAGTCTCCCAGATTTGTCTGCCAAAGCTGGCTTCAAACTATGGTCCTCACATGTCAGCCTCTTGAGTAGTTAGGATTATAGGCATGAGCCACGGCACCTGGCTCATCTCAACCATCTGGTTCATGATTTTCTAGCTCTTCCCTAAAAGTGGGAAGAAAGTCATCTCTGAGTCTCTTTGCCTGTAGCCTGCCCTGCGGGGCCCCATGCTTGCCTGTCCCTTCCTCTCACTGCAACCTGAGCCTTCCTGGCCAGCCAGAGCTGCTTCTCTCCTGCTCCAGGCCCCGATCAGGTTCCCATTCCTGGATCACCCACGCTCCCCTGGTGATGAATTCCCGCATTACCTGAGGGATTTGCACATTGGGCCTATTCCTCGTGGGCCGGAATGTCCTCAGAGAGTGTAGAGGGTGATGGGCAGGGAGAGGCTCATCTGCTATGTACCACTGGGCTTGTGGGGGGACCCAGGGGCCTGATTGACCTTGAACTTGGCTTTAGGATTTTTTTTTCAAAGAAGAGCCAGGGTAGGGCAAGACTTTTAGACCATGGATGCCAACTCCAAGTAACCCAGCCAGCCCCAGTAACAGACAGCCACACAGGGAATGGGACACCCATAGGGACCACCAAAGATCAGTCATTCTTTCCAGCACCCATAGTCAGAGCAGCCTTTCCCACAGCTTCCGGGGGAGGTACCAGGTGCAGGGGTACAGGGGAACATCAGCCCTGGCTACTCGCAGCCAGGGAAAGGACTTGATGACATTGCATCTGCCTCCTGACTGACCACAAAGTGCACTGACTCAGGACAGACTCCCAAGGTCCAGCAGGATGGAGACCTGTCAGGCTGAGAGTAACACAGGGAAGTCCTGTGTGCATCCCCCCCCCACCCCCCAGGCTAGCAACTTCCTGTGCAGAGAGTGTGCTGGGACATGGTCAGGTCAACACTAGAGCAGGAAAGCTCTGATCTGAACATGGAGAAAGCTAGCACTTGACCTGATTCAAGCACCAGCATTCAGAGCCCGGCTTCTGTAGGTCCTGGGAAGGTTTGTCATGGAGCACTTTGTAGTTCTACACTGTTGGAGATGAGGCAGGACCACAAGAAGTATATGAGTGAGCCTCTTTCTTCCTATGCCTAAGCCTTGCCACTGAATGAAGTAGTCATGAGTCTCCCAGTTGTCACAGACCTCCTTTCACCCACAGTGTGGCTCAGTGACAGGCCTGTTGAGGCCTGTTGTGAGTGATGAAGCCTCAGAGGTTCATTCTTCTGATGCCCCTTCGTGACCAAGGCAGAGAACTGCATGCTCACGTCCTTCCCCTGTTCCCCTAGACCCCAAACTGAGCTTCTGCCTGCACCCGGTAGACTGACTCCCCCCATCCCATGCACAGTTTGCTTTTCCTCCTAGCAGCCCTTTTCTAGGACCATTGAGACTCATGCTTTAGGTGGCCCTTCGCATTGCAAACCAGGAAGCTGCTGGCACCCTCCCAATCTGTATTCCCTCAGTAGGCTCACACACATACCCCATCCCACACCTGTCACCCATAGTCACAAATGTTCTGTCACCCAACTTGCTTGACTGAGTGTCTATGTGTGTCAGGTACCTGGGCAGTTCACAGACATAGCTTTATCCTTTAGGGGTGTACAGGAAGGTTTGGAACTTCACCCCAGGACACATGAACACGTGTTGGCATTGCCCCCCTTCCCCAGGCTCTAGAAGGCTTGAACTATTTCTGCTTTGTGAATGTCTGTCCTGGTACCTGTACCATGACCCAGGGGGTCATGGGGAGGTGACATTGGAAGGGGAAAAGGCCTACATATTTCACTTTTGCTTCTCTCAGGTTGTGGGTCTGGGTGAAGCTACAGATCCCAGGCAAGAAGGAAGCCCCTGCAGGCAGACTTGTGTGTCACCTTCTGAGCTTCATGGTTGTCTCACCCCTCCCCCATCATCACCCCACTCATTCCCACAGAGGTGGAAGAATGCCTGGCCAGACCATAGGCCACCACCACCATCTTCCCCATTAGCAGTAACCCAGCTCTCCTGTGAGCCAAGGAAGCAGCCCCTTGAAGGTTCAAAGGGAAGCTCAATCTAGGCCCTTGGTCCTCCAGGCAGCTGACCAGGGCCCTTTTAGTTGCTGGGAGAAGGATGGCTGTGTAGGTATGAGCTACCCCTAGCCCCTGTGGGCCCTTAATTACTGGCCCAGAAGAAGCCGGCTTGTCTGACTGGGCAGCAGGCATAGCACCTTGACCTGCTTACCCTCTTTATGCCTACAGGGTTCTCCTTTTACCTTTGTTACCTGGCCTATCTTGTCTATAGCCTTCTCCTGGCTGGCACCCTTAACCTACCCAATTTGTGGTGCTCTTGCTGGCCCTTCCTCCCTAAGGTTCATGCCCTCTTCCACTAAAGGTCCACCTGGCTTTGGATCCCCCACCAGTCCCAGCTTCAGTCAAAAGGCTTCTGAGTTGCCCTCCCATGGCCAGATTTGGCTGCTACCTCCACTAGAAGATTCTGAGCCCTGTCTTCTGACACTGGCTGTCAAGGGACCAGATGGGAAGTGGCCTGGGAGCATGCTCCCAGAAACTAACCCTGCAAGATCCCCTCCCTGACCGACTGCTCTTGCTGCCTGGGTTTTGGCGATGAGAGCCAGAAACATAGAGGCCAAGATACAGGCTGTGATGTGGTGGACACTCTGCCAAGCTGGGGTTCAGCCTCTGTGGAGAGGGGAGTGGTGCATGGAAGGGAGTCACAGGCCCAACTAGACTTTCCATCATCATCTCACAGAACCTAGAAGTTCAGCCCTCTCCCATGAGCCACAACAGTGCCAGAGACCCTGGGGTGTCAGCACGGCCCATCCAGGTGACCTCAGTGCAGGCCACCTCACCATCTTCCTGATCCCCTGCCCCGAGGAAGTGAAAGCTAACTCTTCTCCCACTGGCCCCATCTCTCTCTGTCCTCCACTCTTCTCTCCCTCCCCTCCCCACACTTTTCCTGTTTCTTGGTCTCAGCTATTTGTTGGAAGAACCATCACATGTTTTAGGAAAAGAGCCTTGTTTGTACCACATTGCTGGCTGGGCCACGCGGTGAAGCTGGAGAAGTGATTAGCTCCACAACTCCGTCCACTCACCCCACCCCTTCCCACCAAGACTCCCGGTTCTCCATGTTTGCAGAGCTCCCTGCTAAATAGTTTGTGGGCATTGATGGTTTCCGCCTTCCAGGAGACTGCGGGCTGCCCAGGGAAGAAGTAGCCAAAAGGCTCCCTTGATCCTCATCAGGGAATTGCGGTGCGATTGTGGGGAAGAGGAGGGCTCCAGTTTCATAGACAAGTGAAGAATGAGTGTGCCTCTTTTTATGGGATCTTTGGAATGACAGGAATTGCAGTCCTGAGCCCCCTCCGCCCAGCACTGCCTGGTCACCGCCCTCAGCCTTCTACTTGGGGTGGGAGAGTGCTCCTAGGCCAAGATATGCTTGGGTAGTACAAGTTCAAGCCCTCCTCTGTTGAATGCATGTGCCCTGTTTAGCCAAGAGGTGTCTGCATCTGAGCTATGCAGAGTGAAGTATTATTAGAGCAGGCATCAGTGTGTCTGTAACTGAACCCAGCTCTCCCTAGCAACCGTTGCTAAAAACATGTCTAACAGAAGGATGCAATACCTTTTTTTGAAAGGGAAAAAAAAAAAAAAAAACTTCATCTGGACCAAGTCGTAAACACAGCAGGACTGTTGTAAAAAAGACAACGCAAAATCAGAACCTGGCATGTGACCAAACTTCAAAATAAAT